GTGCCTGTTCAGGGATGTGACCCGCACAATTTTAGTCAAATGAGGTTTTTATGGTATCTTAGGGGAAATCAGAATGAGAGGCAAGGAAAGTACTCTGTTATTAACCACCAATGTTTTATATTAAATACTTCTTCCCACCCTAAAGTATAGATGTGACAATTACAGATGCAGGCTTGAAAATTTAAAATAAGCACTTCAGTATTTGTTATATATATTTCAAATATACTTTAAAAGTAGATTAAATCATTTAGAGTGACACACGTTGCATTAGAGAAAAAATTAATTTCTGAAACAAAGGGCTGTTAAGTATTATATCTAGGTGTATAGCCTTTAAAATTAAACCCATAACATTCATTAAGGCCATTCTAAGACAGTAACATCAGCTGATCTGTAATGTGACCCTTAACAAAAATGCAGATTTCTTTGGAATTAAATTAACTTTGTGTGGGTTCTGCTTCATATTCCACTTGAAAACTGAAATAAAAATGTCATGAATAAATTCAAGTGCCACTCTAAGTAATAGCCACTGTGATTGCAATGTTGAAGTCAGCTCAATTCTTAATTTAAACTGATGAGAACTGACTGCTTAGACTTAATCCCAGGGCACTGTAAAAGAACTGTGCCTTTTGAGTCTTACTCTGTTGCCACCAAACTTGTATTGTACAAAATAAACACATTGCACTTAAAGTGGTAAAAGTTATTTATGAAAATATGAATGTTGCTCTTCAAAAATGTAGCCGCTTTTTGTCTTTTACATGTGTTAGTTTTTCCAGCAGGAAGATGGAGGGGGAGAGCACATGTATTATGATTTTATTGCTACAAATAAGATGTGTGGATACTTTTCCAAGTGACCTACTTGGGACCACTTCTGATTTCAGCTCTGAGGCTCTGATTCAGCAAGGTACTTTAATACATACCTAACTTTAAGCACGTGACTAGTCCAGTTGACTACAACAGGGCTCCTAAAAGTTAGCCACAGGCTTAAGTACCTTGTTGAGTCAGGATGTAAAAGTCCAGTAAAACAAATTGGAAGAGAAAAATTCCAACAAAAATAATGAAATTGAAAATATGTATGGATAACTAGTGTCTCGGATTATTGGTAGTCATAGCCAACAGAAAAGGACAATCCTTAAACAGAAGGATGTGGATATAAAGCAGCAATGATCGATCTTTTGTCAAAACAGAGATTGCTTGGTTTAAATATCAATGCAATCAATGTCATTTATAGGCTGTGTAGAAACAGTTCTGCATTATAAGTTCAGTTTTCAGCTTTCTACGTGGCTAATTAAATGTGAGACATTCCATTGTGTAGAACAGAAGCTCAATTAGTGTGTTTCCTTGTCTAAACTTGAATAATGTCAGAAGTAATCATAATAAATTTGAGACTTATAAGCTGTTTATCACACATTTTAAATTTAATTAGAATATAGTTACAAATAGTATTGGATTAATTTTCTGTTCTCTCTAACAACACCACTTTCCAGAATCAACTTTCAATTAAGGAAATTAGGTAAAATTGTCTTGTGTTGCTGCTGATCTGGTTTTTACTATGTAAAATTCAAATTAGGCATATTTGGAAAGTATTTGTTTTTATGCCGGCGCTTTCCAGTTTCTTTGAATTTACATCAAATTGTACTGAAGCTGTCCTCATTGCAAAGAAGTGTTTTATTGAGTAGCTACATTAGGCACAAATGTGACTAGCCCATTTATAATTACTCACCTATTGTAAAAATATACATTTAGCCTTTTGATATTCCTAGATAAGCAATAAAATATTCCAGTTATTTAGAAAATGTCAATTGAATAAAGAATTAATATATGTATGCATATTGCTGTTTGATATATATTGGTGGTTGACTTACTAAACTTAGGTCCAATGTTACATGACAGCATAAGAGAACAGCTTTATTTAATGCATTATTACATGTTTCTGAAAATAAAGGTTTACGTTGTTATTCAAATTTCCCAAAAGGTGACACATGACTAAATATTATATCTAGCCAGTCAAAATGCAGTATACCTTAATAGCTAGTTGTAGTTATTCTTGCTAATCCTATTTGAAGCTCCCTTTCTTTACATAGGGAAAATGGTGCTCCTTCTGGTGATAAACTTTTCATGTTGGCAATACAGCTGAAAAGAAAGAGGGAAGAAGGAAAACGCTGAACTCCTTCTAAAATAATTGTATTTGTAGTCATTAATATTGTGCAGAATAGGGTGCTGAGGTTCCAATGGACATATATTGTTAGATCTGTGTACCGTAAGCATTGGAAGTGATTCACCTAATCATGGGAAGAGCAGTGAAAATGAACTTGCATCTTGCTTTGATTCTGAAAATATAAAAATGTATGATAGGGCTTAAAAAACTGATAACTACCATAACACATACAAACCTCTTGTTGCTGATGTGACATATCCTGCACATGTTAATTCCCTTTGTAATGAAGTCAGTAGTTTTAACTAGAATTCCTCTTTAGTTGTCTGCATCTGCGGGTGGCAAAAATTATTCCAGGCCCCTTTGACAGTCTTTTAAAAGATGTATGCAAATTAATCTAAATTTAAATTGTATGTTGAATTTGCTAAAATAGTCTTCATTTCCCATGCATAAACTGGTACCTGTTTCTGTGTGTACCCTTTCTCCTAAGTGCATATAATTATTCGGAAAGGCATAACCGTTTAACTTAACATTAAAAGGCATTTGCAGTGTAATGAAATCCACCAGATACTGCTTGCTTCTTACTGAGGCCTAGCAGTACCTTACTCCCTTTAAAATGTTTTTATACAATAATATTACAATAAAAATCATCCTACAAATATCTTGATCAAAGTGGACTATTATCTGCCCATATGAGCATATTGCACATGTACTGGCAAGCTGCGCAGAAGAAACAAGCAGCAGCTGGTGAAGTGAATGGCACTCTATACGCCCTGTGATGCTTAAGCTAAATTACAGTCTCCACCAAGTGGTCAAAAGCCTTCAGTAAGAAAAGCTGAAATGAAATTTGACCCTGTTGAGAATCAATAGTCAGATGGTAAAAAGAGCAGAAGATTGGGCATTGTAAGGAGCAGGGTTGTATCTTGCGAGTGTAAATTCAGTTTAAACTTTATTATAGCAAAACCATTTTTTACAAAAAATATGTGGTAATTTCTACACCGTTTTTAAGGATGCTGAGGGTTGTGATGTATGGCTGTTGCTGCCAGTGGATACTGGCAAATGGAGAAGCAAACATGTAAAGGGGAATCTCATTAAAATACTTTACCAGTTCAAACTACATTGTAATTTCTTCCATATAACTTTTTTGATAATTTTTATAAAAAGCATCTGAAGATCTCTTCATTCAGTGGCAAGTGCTCTGTGTAATTTAATTGTAAAATTCTATGGGAAGTAATTCACATGGATTAGGGGGCAAAACACACATATCCATAGTAATTATTTTAGTAAGATCCATTAGGTTTTTTAATCAGTCTGTGGCTATAGAGGCACATTTGCACTCATGGAATCTAGTAGTGTGACTAGAACTCTTTGTTTTGCCTGGTTACAAGCAGATTGAAGGATAACCTGGCAAATTACAGTTTTCCAAATGCTACCTGAGGCACGTGGGGATCACTGAGCAAATATTGAGAAACAAACAGGATCACTCTTCATCCTTCCAAGTGACCGGGATAGCAACCACAAATAATCCCCTTCCCTTTCCAAAGCTAGTGAGCTAGGCAGAAAGAGAACCCTTTTTCTCCATAGCACGGGAGCAGGAGTGAAGCCTTGAAGAACCTTAAAATAATGTGTTGCATTGTAACATTTGTGTTGTGGTGGTGTGTAGTGATTTGAGGCAACATGTGAAACATTGTAACACAAATGTGGTAACGTGACATGAGAATCTCTCTCCAATGATTTTGTCTGATTTATTCTTTGACATAACTGGTTTTTCAAGACTGAGTATCACTGGTACAGAGCATTTCACATTATCAGATGTTTGTCATGGCTGTTTAAATGCCTCAGGAAGCAGTCATACAATTATCTTTTGTCATCTTTTCAGGATCTTTGCAGTTGTACTGGCTGTGCTTAATTTCAGAATGCAGTGCTAAAAATAAAATGTGCTCTTTCACTCTGCATCATATTGGGCTGATTTTTTTTAAAAAAAAAAAGGTCTGATAGTTGTAGATTCATTCTCTATTAGTCAGTCTATTAAGAAGCAAAAATATTTTTGAGTTTAAGAAATAATCCCTAGTTGAGGTAAGAACTATTTTAGTATAATTTAGGTCGGAGTCACATTTTAATATTGGTCAGACATGTTATATTTTTTCCTAATTATTGCAACTCTTAAATGGAGACAGATGCATAGGATTCTGAAAAGTGAAACATTGCAAATGTAGCCTGGTTTTCAATAACGACGTACACTAGTTCAGGGCTCTTTGGTCTACCACTCCACTGTGTCCCTCTCACTAATTATTTTTCTGGACAGGTATTTGGAACCGTTGGGGGACAGGTTTCTTGTTCTGAGTTATAACACATGTCTGTGGTTCGCTGTTAATATTAAGGGAGATGTTTTGACAGACCATTCTTCTATAAGGCACAGATTGTAAGTGAAGAGATGGTACCAGCTAAACATTACAATAGTAAATATAAGTACAGTGTCACAGCATTAAAAATACATTTAGTTCCAGAACTGCATAATTGCAATTTATTTGGCTTTGTAAGAATCGTGGAAATGCAATGCAAATAGTGGTACAAGAAGAGCAAGGAAGAATGTCATGAAAATGTGATCTAAAAAAGCATGTTGGGGTTTCACTGATTTTTATAAAGCTTGTTTTAGTTTTGAAATGTTGTTCTTGATTCTTATTCATTGCAGACTTCCTAAGTGATATTGAAAAAGTTAATCTCAACTCTTTTAATATAATAGCAAAGCTCACAATTTTTATACTTTGGTGTCTGAAACTGACTTTAGGAACTAGCTATTCAACCAACAAACTGAATGGGCCTTCATTCCTTTCCTTTTCTCTGGCAGAATGATGAGAATGTCTGTCTTCAGGACATCCCACTCTCAATACCATCAAGCCCAGAACCACAGGATGTTGAGCCTATATATAAGGTAAATTGACATTGATTGTATTGCAGAATAGCATAACTTTGTTTTTATCAGTATTGCACATAATTGTAAAGTTAGCACTTCCAGATCAAATAAGCCAGTATAAAGCTGAGGTGAGAAACAGTTCTTATATTTACAATGGTCCTATCAGTTCAGTGAAATAATACATTCTTTGACATTGTAATAAATTACCTCTTTTTAGTTTTTTAATGGCTAAGCCACAAATGGACAAATTATAATCTTGCATATGGCAATATATCTTGAAAATAAGGTACACAGTATATATTTTTTTTACCATTTCTTGTGTAGTATTTTGTTTTGTTGTTCCTACACTTCAAAACAAACAAACCCCACAAGCTGCTGACCTGTTTTTATACCATCTAAAGTTTGTTCAAATAAAATGGCCTGTTTGAATCTTTAAAACAGTGTGCAAATTGACACACAAGTTAATTATTGAAAAAAATATGCTTTTTCATATTTGCAGTGGACATGTTACAATAATGGCATGTGAAGTTCTTGGTTTTAATTTTATAGATGTTCTTTATCCTAAATATTTGCTGATTGATATGTCCCATAATTTTCACAGAAAGGAGCCAGTCCTTAGAACCTGTGACAATTTACACCACCAGAGGATCTTCCCCAAATATGGCCCTCTCTCTACTTCTCCACAAGCATTTTAATGAGTGCTAAATTGTAGTCTCATTGCTAAGCTTTCATTACTTCTGTAAAATAGTGTTCTATTTTATTTTGAAGTATGATCACAGTGTAATTAAAGTATTTATCTATGAATTTTATGTTTACAATTCTTTTTTTGTTCACTTATCCACCAATTTGCAAAGTTCTAGAACTTGCAGTGGGGTCTTCCAGTCATTAGTGCAGGTGTTTCTGCAGGAAGAACTTTGGAAACACAATAAAATTAAGGATGTGAGTTGATTGCAATAGATATTTAAAGGAACACTGACAAAGTTGAGTGGCCCAAAAGAGAACTGGTTTTCCTTTTCCATTTGGGTTGATCTGGTATGTGTTTTGGGTGCTGCTTTATAAAAGAATATTTTATACTGTTGTCCATCTCTGTAGTATGAAAGTATGTTTCACTTAAAATTGATATAAGATCCATCAGTGTCTACAGGCAGCAGCTGCAAGAAACTGATAGTATAGGATTTAAAAAAAAAAAAAAAGGACCAGAAATAAGAAACAAATAAAATTAGAGGACTATTTCTTAGATTTGGCTATCTACTGGAAAGGACCTGCATTTTAGAAACTAGTCCTGTAGCTGGCTGCACAGATGGACTCTTGCTCCTTTGTGGAGTTCTATTTAAGTCAGTAGGGATCCGCATGGATGCAAGGAGACACCTACACAAGCCACCAGCAAGACTGGGACCTAAAATACTTAGGTTTCAGGCACTCTGTGCAATATAATTGTATTTCTGCTGCTTGTACTGTGGTCATCTTTTGAGCTAGTTACGCTGCTTGTACTATCTCAGGTCTTTCAGAAATGTAGTCTTGAAACATGAATAATTTCTTTTTCTAGGAATTATTGCCTTCTGTTTTCAAAACCAAACCAGGTTTAATTGACATTCAGTTCTTGTGATTTTAAAATAATCTTCTTTTAATGGGTAGCTGCGTGTTGTTTGCATTACCATAAGATATCTTTGAGTCTGTGTTTCATCCTAACACAGCAGATAAAAGCAGTCTTTACTAAACTGAAATCATATGCAAATATTAACTGAAAATATGGCCCCACAATGCCTTGTGTAGCTGAACAGCATGATTAATTCACTGATAAATACTTAAAAATACCACAGAAAGGAAAAGATGTTAAGAAAACTCAATAATTTCATAGCTGTCAAGGTTAAAAATCCTTGAAAACTTTGCATAAACATTTTTCTCTTTAAGTCTTATGTCTCCTGTTTGATCTAAGTTAAAATTCAGCTCAACAGGACTTTCTGCCCAGTGCAAGAAATAGTTATCCATGTTTGTTAATTTTTTTATAAAATGTGATTTATTTTGTTGTTTTCATTCTGTTCTATTAGTCTACTTTCATGTGATAATTTTCAAATTGCAATTCACACAAATTATAGTATTGCTACTTATTGTTAGATAAACAGGGTAATAAATATGCAGTAATTCTCAGTGTTGAGTTTTTTCTCAATAGCATATGTAATTTTGAAAGATCCTAAAGCCATTGTGAATAAAAAGGAGCTTAAAATACTTTTATTGGAACTAGCGTACATTAAAAATTTAACAGGAGACAGTGTGTTTGCTCAACCCTGTGTCTTGGAATAAAGATGTTCAGTTCAGCCAAGTTTCCCCACTGTTTTTAGCTGTATGTTCAGCTTATGTACATATAGCCCATGTCAGCATGTGGACAATGAGATAAAAGCAGAGCCCAACATATTTTAGGAGGAATTCATCGTGATTAATGCATATTTTCCTGCTGGTGCTTCAGCAGCATTTGATTTACTATATCCTGGGGAGATGTTAAATTAGATAGTTGTCTACCCCCCTGTAGAAAACTTCATGTTGCCTATTTTTCTATTACTTCATATGTCAGACTGAAGATCTGCTAAATGAGATCAGGCAGCTTAAAGAAGATCTGAAGAAAAAAGATGAAACAATCAAACGATTAGAGCACCAGCTTGTAAGTATAACTATGCATTTTGCTAATTAAAACATTTTAATAATAGACATGTATGCATCGCAGAGCATATATTTGTATAGTAATTCTCCTGAAGACTTTTAAGTGGGCTAGATTTTTGACTTCAACATTTATACTTTCAAGATCACAAAGATGTTGTTTATTATTAAGGCTGTGAGTCTGTCACGGAGGTCACGGAAGTAACAGATTCCGTGACTTTCCATGACTTCTGCAGTGGCTGGTGCTGACCCAGCAGCAGAGGTTTGAGTATGTGGGAAGGGGGCTCAGGGCTAGGGGCAGAGAGTTGGTGCTTACCTCGGGGCGGGGGGCCCCCCTGCTCCTGCTGGCATGGCCCCCCTGCAGCTCCTAGGTGGCAGAGAGGTGGGAGGTCTCCGTGCTGTCTGCGCCAGCAGGCCCTGCCCCTGCAGCTCTCATTGGCTGAGGCAGCTGGTGCTTGTGGCAGGGGCATTGGAGCCGCTGACCTTGGCCCCTGCCTCCGCTGACCCTTGCCCCGCCTCCGCCACCTAGGAGCTGCAGGGATGCAGAGCTGGGTAGAAAGCCCCTGCTAGCCCTGCCAATCCCTCCTCCCCCAGCACCAGCGGGGGTCCCTAGCCACGTGCCGCAGCCCGGCTCCCACCTCCCCCAGCACCAGCGGGGGTCTCGGGCCCCAGCACTCACGATGCCCTCAGACTGTCCCCCACCCCTCCAAGCACCTGTGGCCCTCCGCCCAAGTTTTAGTCAGGGTGGGTATTTTTAGTAAAAGTCATGGACAGGTCATGGGCCCATGAATTTTTGTTTATGGCCTGTGATCTGTCCATGACTTTTACTAAAAATACCAGTGACTAAAACGTAGCCTTATTTATTACTTATGGCTTGGTGCAGGATGGAGGATAAACAGGATGGTAATGGATGATAACCCTGATTAATAACACACAGCTTAAATAAAGAAAATTTTAAAAATGATTGGCCAAGTAATTGTTAAATAATTTTTCAACTAATATTGGAATTGAAAAGTGCCTCACTAAACTAACAAGAGTATTTGTTATATGCATGATTGAAGTTACAGAAAGTGAATATAGCTGTAACTGTTCTCTGAGGCTTTTTTAAAGCAATGAACAGGTGTAACAGTAAAATGAAAAATTATGTTCTTTCCCCACATAGATTTACTAAAGCGCATATTAAGACAACCACTAATTTTTAATCTTAGGCCATCAGTGCAGTTAATGGCTCTTAAGTAGGCGGTAAATACAGCCTTGTTCATGATTTTAAAAAAATCCCAGCTCCCTAGTAAAAGTTCAGTACATCTATTTTTTTTTTCTTTTACTGCTGTTCTGGGCTAATTCTGGCCTTGCCTGTCACTGCAGCACAGATTGCCAGGTTATAGCAATTATCTTGTTTTACACAGCTCTGATTGTTGGGCGGTGAAGGGGGATCCCTATAGGTTTGGATGCTATTTGCTTAAATAATTAGGTAAATAATCAGCTGTTTGATCCCCCGATGAGCCTGGTTGATTTGACGTTTTTGACCAGTGCAGCTATACTTTAATAAGAGGTGGGAAGTCTTTCAAGAGAGGATGGAAGCTTGGCTTGTTGAGAACTTTTTTTTGAAGAGACTTCTGTGATGTGAGTAAAAAGTGAGTGAACCTCTGTCCACTCTTCAAATCCTCCATGTTCACGCAATCAAAACACTTGCCTTGACTGAGTATAATGAGGAAGATTTTATATTAATCATCACTTTCAGCTATTGTTTTCGTAAGAAAAAATTAATTCTCATTAACAGTGATAGTTCAGATCATGGATGCGTTAAGGTTGACATTGGATGTCAAATTAAAAGTTTATTTAGGGCTTCATAATTTTCCGTACAAATTGCACAGCAGAAAGCTTTGTAATCTGGCTTTATTTTTTCTATCATGGGTGGAGATGTATAAGCATTTGTCTTGTCAACCAGTGGAAGATTTTTAGCATCCCTTCCCCGTGTAAAAAAAAAAAAATCTAGCTAGGCATTGATCCACCTACCACACCCTTATAAAAAAAGATTAACAGAATTTAATATGGGGAAACAAAGTTTTTTAGAGATGTTTTTATAGAACCCTATAGAATTTGATGGAGAATAACATCCTTTATATTTTTAACTATCATATAAATGCAATTCCCTGTTGAGATAAACTTAAAGTAAGGAGCGTGTGTGTGTTTACCACAGCATCATGTATTTCATATGTGTAAAGTATGAGTTTTTCCAAGCAAGTACTGATAAAATTTATACTATACTATTGCATAATCTGTATGTTCCTTATATTTCAGAGGAACTTTTTTAGATATGTTGGAGGCTTTTAAAATTGTATCAGACTATTTGTCTTATTCCTTCACCTGCAAAGTCAGGCCCCTTAGTTACAATAAGAACAAAACTTCAGGCCGCCGAGGGAGAAAAATGACTAATAACATTACAGAAACCTAACGAATACTGTAGTGTTTCTGAATATATAAATATTACAACTTTGAGGTTTGATATCATGAAACTTCACAGGGCTACATAGAAATACTTTACTTTCAGATGGTATAAAGCTCCCATTTCTAGCCACTAAGGATTTCAAGGTATTTGATCTTAAACTTGTCACCAGCCTTGTCCTCGAAGATGAGATATTAAGAACATGTCATTTTGGAGAAGGATTCTCCTTTTGAAGAGAAGGAAGAAATAATTCTATAGCAGGTTAATTGGAGGGAGGCAAGAAATTATGGCTGTTTAAAGACTTTCACAGGTTTATAACGTTAGACTAAGTCCCAAGGAGGGTGATTGGTGGGCTGAGGGAAAAGGAAGTGGTCAAAGGTGCATGATGTATTGATTTATCATATGGCTCTGCAATTTTTCACATGGATACTATCTCCATCTCTATTTGCAAATATGTGTGTGTACCTAAACACATTGAAACTGGCCTGGCCTGTATACGTGGAATGTATTCACTTTCTTTCTCTGAAAGGGAAATGAAAAGTTAATTTTTTATTTTTATTTTTTCACTTTAAATCATAGAATTCCAGGTAATACTATAACAAAGAAACAAATGAATAAAATTAAAAAAAAATCAGTCTTACCTACAGTTGGTAGACCTTCAAATTGTATCTACCTTCTTGCTGAATTGCATACCTAGTTGTTACAGCAACTGACAAACTTTGGAATGTAGAAGGGAACTGTATTCTAAAGAAGAACAGAACTTGTGATCATAATTATTTGAAGATGCACTGAATATAGTAATGTAGGGCTTATCTTCATGGGGAAGTTAGTACGGAGTAAGCTAGGGTGTGAATTTTAAAGTGCACTAACTATTCCACACTAACATTCCATGTAGACTATAAAAGTACCTTTGTGCAGTTTTGCTTAGTACAATAGCAACTGAGCTAGTAGAAGCTTGTACTAAGCTGTACCATACCCAGGCACTTTCAGTGCTCTGTAAAACTGTCTACACAACGTGTTAATGCGGAATAGTTAGTGTACTTTAAATTCACAGCCTAGCTTACTCTGTATTAACTCCCCTGTGTAGACAGGCCTTTAGAAATTTAAGTGAACATAACCCACTCCCCCACCTAAAACCTGAACATCAATTGTAAATTATTTAAAAGCATTCTTTGGGAAAAGATTCAGTCATGTAGGACTTTAAATACAAGTTCCGCAGCTAAAATCATTACATCACTTGGCAATATACCACATAATGGTTGAACATTAAACTTGCATCTTATTACCAAAATACCATTCACATTTTGTGTTTCATTGTAAAAAATGTGTAATACATTCATTGTTTTCTTTTCTTTGATGGGGGGCTAAGGCCACTAGGTGTAACTGTCACAAAGATGGCCAAAAACCTAAAGGGACGATGTGCACATATGCTGACAAATTCACACAAACCTCCTGCAGGAGAAGTTCTGTGAGTAACACTTACCATTCTCCCTCTCAAGTAAGATTTTGTGTGTTTCATTCTCTGATTCATTCTTATTTTATACCGCTCCATCATGTGACTCTGGTCTGCTCTAAAGATTTCCCATGCTGTGTAAGACTGATTATTGCATTTTTATATCCTTGTAATTCTGCAGCAGGTATTTGACAGTCTTTTCAGAGTTCAGTCTCCAATCATGTTTTTTCTTTCTTTCTCCTTATTTGGGCCTTATTTTAGAGCATGTGTTTACTAATGAATAAATAAAATGAGGCAATAATAGAAAATACGTCTTTTTTTAATTTTAATCACAATTTAATTCTGTTGGGCCAAGGCTGTATCTCTGATCACTCATTAAAACACTTTTTAAAACAGAATGTTTATAGTACAAGATACTCTCATTTGATGGAGTTTCTTTGTGGTAAATTTCAATGTCTCTGTGCTCACTTGTCCTGACAAAAAGTAGCAATGTATTGACCTGAACTTAATTCATGAATGTAACAGAAGTTGTCCTCTTTCTCATTTATTCCACTAGAGCAGTGGTTCCCAAACTTTAACAACCTGTGAACCCCTTTCACTAAAATGTCAGGTCTCATGAACCCCCTCCTAAAAATGAATATTTCCAGGAATTTTCTCCTTTATCTGAGTATAAATTATAAAAGCATTGATCTTGGAAATATAAAATTTGTTTTTATGATGCTTATTACACATTATTTATTATTTATCATTACAGTATTTTTATTACATTATGAAAATGGCAACACTCTTCCAAGATCTCACTTTCGTATCTTGTATCACTTTGAATAAGCCTGTTATAAGACAAGGCTCCTATGTTTCATCAAGGAGTATCAGATGTGAAACAGCATGAAGGTATTTAAGAAGCCAACAACAGAGTTCCTCCTACACAAACATTCAGGTCTTGAGCAGTCCAGGCAAACAACGCATGCTAAAACAAAGCTTAAACTTGTTCTTCTTAATAATTTTAAAAACAATACTAGCCGCCTATTTAATTTTAAAAACGGCAAAAAATATCCACCTTCCTTTCCATTGCTTATAAGGAGTCTTGAAGTTTTAATCGCCTCAGTGTGATAGATATGCTTGCTTTGATCTGCTTAGCTCTTGGAAGTTCAGGGGCTCCGTGCTGCTGGCCCCGTGCTGCCCAGGGTCCCCCTGTAACATTTTGTGAACCCCCAGGGGTTCATGAACCCCAGTTTGGGAACCACTGCACTAGAGAGTTTAGCATCATTGGTTTTCAAATATCTAAAGGGTGGAGGTTATGGTACTAGAGAGACAATCTTCCCTCCCATGTGCAATTGCATGGATGAACCTTCTCTCACATTTCCAACTGCATTGTATTTTTGAGGCAGCTATACCAATAATTTTAGGAGTGTACTTAATGTTGTATTCTGCCATCTTAACACCCAGAAATGAGGAGCTAGCAGCACTGTGTGACCAGCTAGCGCTGTGAGCTGCCAGCAAATGATCCAAGGACAGGTTTGTCAATCACTGCTCTAGATAGTTCTAGTAATTTTCTTAAATGGCTCAATAACCATTACTCCGCTTTCATTCTGACACCAGTGTATACAGCTTAGACACGAATCACTTTTACGTTTGTAAAAGTTGTTGGGAGAATTTGATATAAGATTACAAAAAAAAAAAAGTTTCTAGTTTTGAGAATTGTCAATTTAGATTCCCAATACTGGGACAGAAACAACACCAATGTGCAAGCTGAGAAGCCTCTAGCAAGCAGTGTCTGGGGCTACGTTCACCATCCCTCTTCTTCCTTACTTTAAGTACTGAGGATAGAAAAGAGAGTGTAACCTTTAACCACCCTTCACTTGCTTCTGACTTTTTCACTACTTGAAGCATCAATAACCTTGATGTTCCACTTACTGGGTGTGTCATATTTCTGTCCCTTTGGGAATTTGTTTTTTGGAAATGTCTAGTTTGTATTTAGGTTGGAGTACAGCCATCTTGTATGGCTTCATTTTTCCATGTTTCAATTTTGTTAGGTTGATTACTTTTATCTTATGTGTTTTCGTTGTCTGTGGCCATTGGCATGGATAAAGTAGCTAAGAGAGGCTGGCTTCAAGCCTTGCACTTCTTGCAGTGACACAATTTCCATTACAAATGTCCATGTTTGAGGCATTTATTTGACACATTAGGAAAAATCAAATTCTCAGGCCACCTATGAATCTCCTGACCTCTTCACTCCTTTGGTCAGGATGACATCCACTCCTTTACAGTGCCAGAGCACAGCTGCCATAGCAGCCAGGGGACAACATATTCTTGTATCGCAGACTTGAGTATGTGGGATTTTTCCTACTGTCGTAGTGCCTTGTGGCTTCATGCACCTCTGTGACACCATTTTTCAGGGTATGCAATGTTGACTAAAGAAGGTGTACTGTGCCCATCGTGATAGTATGAATACCTTAGCATGTCCTCACAGAGACAATCAAAGTTAGTGATTTATATTCCTGATGGTTGTTCCTTTCTATAACTGTGCTTTCTCAGGTCACTTTGAGATTTTCAGCTGTGGCAGATGAAGGATGACCATCCCTTAGAAGTAGTTCCCTTCTCACTTATTTTCCTATCTGAAGTAATGTTCAGTGAGGCCTCAGGACTGGTCTGAGGTCTTCACAGAGACAATCCAATTATTCAGGATTGTGGATTCTATAGGATTAGTTTCTGTCTTGCAGGGCTATTTTCCCTCTGATTTGATCCAATCACCTTGATGATAGTTACCCGAGCCATTATGATGGTGCCCAACCTTGCTAGCTCACACAGGTAGTAATCTAGTGTGGGTTCAACCCAGTGTCACTGACAGATGATTATCTCTTGGACTGGGATCAAAAGTTCACCTACATGTTCTCTCCAATTCTGGTGGCCTGAGTTCAGCACTTGTGGTTCCAGCATTACTTCCTGAGCGTTAAAGAACCAAATGTCCCAATTCCTAGTATACTGGATCTCTTGATCCCATTGTGGTCATTTTGAGCAGGCTACTACACTTGGAACAGTCAAAGTTGTCTTTGAGTTTTGTCAGGCTCTACTTGGGTGCCATGTCTGCCCATCTTTGCATCAGACTGTGGAAAGCAATCTTCATTCACCCTATGATAACTAAGTTTTCTGAAAGGGTAGCTCCATGATATTTCCTCTGATGCATACAGTACTTCTCATATGGGATCTGAATCTGAACTTTGTCAGACTGTTTTCTTGAAGACAGTATTCCTCATGCTCCTATCACAACCACAAGTTAGTGATTTATAGTCCTTATGGTTGTTCCTTTCTATACCATGTCCATAAAAATTTTAGTCCTGAGTGCTCACTCCTAATTCCTTTCTAAAGTAGTCTGTGATCGCACTCCCATAACTAGCCTGCTTGTACATTGTGCCAAGTCTAGTTCACTTGAAGGGAGATCAAGCTCTAGTACTGAATCTATGCATAAGTTCTCTAGACATTTTTATGACCTCTCTGCTTAAGGGTGTCCAAATGTATTGGTTTATATTTATATGGTTGTTGGTACCTGGCGGGCATTCAGCCACCTGGAGGTATCTGAGCACACTCGGCTAAGTCTGAGGCAGCTTCTACAATATGCATGTGCACTGTGTCCATCACTGAAATATGCAATGGGCTATGTACACACTTTTGCAACACTATACTCTTGCTTTGGGCTGTACATTAGATGCCCAATTCAGAGGAGCAATCTTGCAGTAACTTTTAATTAATACTTTTCAGACGTTCCTCTTGGCAGTTCATAACTTCTTGTTAATCTCCAAAAAAGGAGAAACTGTATGGGTAATTCACAAAAAAAGAAAGTTACTTGCTATGTGGCTGTTTGAGTTGATCATCTATAAGGATCAACAATTCCATGCTACGTCAGGGTCTCTCCTATGAAAATTTCTGAATCAGTGGAAGAAACTGCAGGAGGACCATGCTCCTTAAAAATTTGGACCCAGGGGAGAGGGTGGAGGGTGAGTGGTCCAGTGGACACTGTTATCTAGAAGGATCCAAGCTCTTGCACCAGAAGCTCATTTATTCCAAGAGTGGGGATCCATATTGACAATCATTTCAAAGAGCCCCACTCCTATAGGAAATAACCATTTTCAATGGTCCTACAAATCAAATGTCTTAATATAATCTTGCAGGTAAAGAATCTATAATCTAATGATTTTGAAAAACAAATAAAAATGAGTTATGTATACTTTTTGTTTGATTTGATGCATGTTTAGTAGGAACATTGATGAGACTTTAATAGCACAGACAAATCAGTGAAATAGTATCAGAGTTGGCTCAGACACTGTGTGTGTGTATATATATCTATATCTATCTATCTATAGATATATATATCCTTAATCAATATGAATGAGTGCATATTAGGGTGAAATGCAATGGTTTCTCCTTTATAACAACGTCTCCACAATTAACTGCTGGGCCTAGAACTGCATTTATAGTCTAATTTTCACCTATTGCCTAAATTAAACTCTAAAGGTAATATTAGTGTTCAGGATCTGAGGAGTGAGCCCAGAAGCCAAGGGAAATGTTGTGTAATACTCTGTTTTAAAGACAGGCTGTCAACTTGAACTTCTTGGAAATTTTTTTAAAATTCCAGTTTTAATCAAATATGAATTAAATAGGATGTCCTATTTTTTAAAGAATATTTCTCTCTAGACATAAAATAATAAAAAATAGTATAAGTTTGAGCTCCCCTCTTGATATTTATAAGGATCTTAACAGGAAGAGGAAAAACTGACCAAGGGAAAAAATGAAAATGACTATTCACAAAGTGTTGTCAAATATTCAAAGTAAAGCAGAAAAAGTTTTCTTGCTAACTTTCAGTGTTTCTAATCTTGCTGTTACTTGTAACTATTGGGTAGAAAACTTTTAGACAGAAATGTGGGGTTTTTTTCCCCCACAACATCGTATCCCTCTGATGTACACAATTATACGTTTTGATGATGACACTGCCTGTCTTTCTCTATAATGAGACAGAATCG